TTATGCCTGTGTCATATTAAATAAGGGGATATCTGAGTGAAGTTTTATTCCACTTGTTTTGGAATGGCACTCTCATTAGGATCCTGAACCTAAAAGCTAGTAAGAAATGCCTAATATAGATCTTTCCGTAGGCAGTTCTCAAAGACATCCTATTGAAGCCTTAAAAGCTGCCTTTATTTTGCCAAATCCAACATTAATTTTACTGCTTTCCATAGGAAAGACTGGTGGGAAAGCATTCTAGAAGAAAAGCCCAATTCCCAATCTGGTGGAGAAATATTTCTGGGTAAAAATGCACACTGGAACTGTATGTGTTTACTATTGTAGTGGGCAAACAAGCCATTACTTTGCATGCTAAAGGCAAAGTATGTGAGGAAATCCGGGGAAATGCTGCCCCAGAACTGCTGTTGCCATAGTATTCCTGCTTCAAAAACAGAGATTGGAGAGAGGGAGAAGAAAACAAAGGGAAAAAACCCCACTCTCTCAGCCTGGATTTACTCTGCTGAAGAAACTATGCAAGACAGGGTTATAATAGAAACTCAGCAGCAGTGCTGAGGAGTCAGGGAAAAAAATCTATGACCTTGTTGTTGTCTAAAAAAGGAAAATAGCATGAGAGAGTGGGGTGGGGGAACCAGTAGATTTCTTTGGTTCGGCTGCACAGAGTTGCAGTTCGTTATGCACAAGCGTGTTTGCAGATACCCTGCTTTGCAGGGGAGACAGTGTGAGCCACTTCTCTGATAATTTCCAGAAGCTCTTTGCTGCTGCGAGAGCCGCCGTCTTGTTGGCTCTGCTGTAACAGAAGCCCTGCTGTTCGGAGGGCAGTTGAAACTTGAAAGCTATTTAGCGCAGGATGGCTGATGAGGGCAACAAGAAAGTAATGCTAAATATACATGGCCTGACTTCATCGGGCAAATGCTACTTGCACTGCTCCTAGGGAAGATCCGTTCATGCCTGCCAATACGTGTCCTTTGTGCCATTTGACAGAGTTGAGCCATGGTAGGGACATAACAGAGCCCTGCTGGATCAAATCAGAAGCTTACTGCTTACTCCAGTATCTTTGGCTCACCCACAGTAGCCAAACAAGTGCTTCCAGGAAGCCCCCAACCAACGGTTGAGGATACATGAATATAGTTCTTAGCAGCATACCCTGTGAAGTGCTGCTTCCCAAAGTACCTTCCACAGGGGCAGAACAACTCAGTTGTTCAACTCAGTTAGGGCAGGCTGGCTTAAGCAGAGTGATCCTGCTTTGGGGATATGTAAGGATATAGTATGAGTCCTTGCATGACTTTGCCTGGCCTTTGGTTTACTTCTTGCTGCTGTAGCTTAATTAGCATCCTGTGCAGCCAAATGATCCATCCCCATCTCCCTTTTCTCACCCACCTCAAGCAAGCTCCCGGTGTTTTGTTGTGGCGGAAACCTCCATGTCTGCTGGTCTGCTCTTTTTTCTGCTGCACACTGCAGTTCTCCCATTCTGCCACTTCCCTTGCAGTGTCTTGGCAATAGCTTGGTTCTGCATCTGCTGCTTCCAGGCCATGATGTACTGGCAGTCAGGAGTGAAACAATGAAACGGTGATTTTTTTCAAACTTTTCAACACTGGGCAATTGTTTCCACATCAGCATCATCTGCCTGCCATGGGATCCCTGTAAATTCTAGAGACTTCTGGTGTATGTTCTGGATTAGGGAGCATACTCCATGCACACTGACTGTTTTTCTGGCCTATTGAACTTTGTCGTTCCCTAAAGTGAACTAAGAGCACATCTTAGAACCATCTGGTTCTCTCCCTGTATGTTGCAGGGGAAGATCGTTTGTGGTGAGCAAGCTGTTGAATTGCAGAGAAGTTTATCTACCATTACTGAATTTCTAACTGAATAAGCTTCCACAAGGCTCTGAACACTGAAAACTACTGCAGTATGTGCCAAGCTTTGATGCTCACATCATCCATAAAGTGGATGCAACAATGTCAGCAGCCATTTTGTAAGCTGCATGATAAGCAGTGGATGTAGCTGACAGCCTACATAGACTTGCCAAAGCAGAAAGTTCAGAGCAGAATCTTTTGAAGAGAATCAGGCAGTTTTCTGAACTTTTGTTTGTGACAAATGTCTAGTTGTTATGGGTATTCAGAGAAGCCTGCACTTGTGTGGACAGTTTTCAAAGAAACTTACTTCCACAGTAGCCTTTTCAGGAGTGTGCATTAATGCTTTAAGGGTGTTCTAACGAGTTTCCAATAAACAGAAAGTAAGAACATTTCATGAAGGTAAGGTCTTGCCCCTGCCTTGTTTCCTACATGCACATGCTACCCTTGAATTGAATGGCCATGGGTTTCTGCTACACTTCATGGAAACATTAAAAAAATTGAGTAAAACAAAGATTTTCAAGTTTGCTAACTCCCTCAAACCAGTGGCTGTAATAAAAATCACACATGTTTCAGGCGGTCTTTTCACAAGACCAATTAACCAAATGAAAATGGTGTGAGAATGCCATGGGAGAGTCCCCTGGAATTAGAATTTTCATTGCATTGCATTGCATTTATATGCCACCTTTTCCCTCTTGCAAGGAACCCCAAGCACCTTACAGGGTCCTCCTCTACTCCAGTTAATCCTCACAACAAACCTGCGAGGTAGATTAGGTGAAGAGTGAGTGACTGGCCCAAAGTGAAGGTGTTAACTTCATGTTCTTTGTTGTGATCTCTGTGTATCACACATATGGGTGCTGTACCTGTGCAGTGCTATGTTTGGGAAGATTCCTCTAGCTAAACCTAGAGTTTTTGGCAGGAGCCCTGTCCCCCTTCCCTGTTATAAAAATAGGTGGGCTCCCGCCATTTTTTCAGTTCATTTTTGACTGCTGTTTGCAGTGCCTCAGGATCTCTAGCTATATTATCTCAGCCTTTTCCTCACAAAAACCTTATATTTCTTACTGCCTTCTACTGGAGACTAGAACCCAGATCTCTTAGGTCTCCAGTTTAATATTCTAACCACCCTGTCAAATAGCTTTTGTATCTTAGTTATCACCACGTAGATTGTCTCTGAACTGATGTGGAAAAATGAGAAAACAGAGAAGCTCCAGCACTAGCAGAATGAGCCTGCGTGTGAAATACATTCTACTTCAGCACAAACTACAGAGCATTTTTGTTACTTATTACATCAGCTAGCTAATGGCTGAACCATTCTTCAACCAGAGCCCTGCTGCTTTCTAGTTTGTAATTATTTTTTCAAACAGAAGGATTTTTGCTCTTGTTTGCATATTGCCATATCTTGGCTGAAGAAGGATTTAGAAAACTTGAAAGACTGAACATTTTCCTGAACTTTCAGTGAAGTCTGTATCTCTGAAAGTTCTCAAACAGTAACCTGATTACATTTTTGTTGCTACCTTCAGAGGACTGATGTCAAAATGGATCCTTCTGCTCTGTACCCTTGAATGGCCTTGTCAGCTCACTGCTTCTGCTCTCAGCATTATCTAAATATATTTATTCTTCAGACTGAGATGGCCTGGAGAAGTTTTCTTTCAGCTCCTGTAGTAAACCCCCCCCCCAAAAAAAAAGCTGATGACTCACATTTTGAGGAGGATGGTTGCTTTGTGCATGTCTTTAAGAGCAACTGCTGACAAAAGATATCTGTCTGGGATCTCTAAGATGTCACAGAGAGCAGTTCAGGGCAGTGTAATTTGTTCAAATGAACAAAGGTGTATTTTGAATTGGAACTGGAAATGTTCATGCAACTGCAATAGATACTTGAATAGTTAAGATGATAAAAGCTTTTTCTTTCTCATTAGCTTTACCTTAGTCATCTGGAAAAATGAGCACCCACTTTCTAATTCACTAATTCAAAGGATGGGGAAAGTGCAGCTTCAGATCACCATGATTATTCATGTGATGGAATCTGCAAGGGATGTTAAGAGATAACCAATTCTGGGTTAAGTGATTTTAGTATTTCCCCACAGGTGTGGGCTTAACAGAATAAGGAGACAGTGTCTGATTCTGGCACTTTTATGGGGTTATGTTGGTTTTGTGTGGATACTTGGGTACGGGCCATGTCAAGAATGGCATACGCTCCACCTGCCCCTGTTTATCAGGGAGATTAGCCATTTTCTGATGTCTTTCCCTAGCAAGATACCACTATCTGTTGTGCCCGCATTTTCGCCTTGTTAACTTTTCTTTAGAACTGTCGTTATTTCTTGGAGGTAACACATCTCTGAGTGTAAAATACATGAATGCTTTTCTCTCTCGCTCACAAGCATGTGCATGAACATGAAGACACTGTGCAGACTTTGCATATGCACTACTTTTTCTTGTGCATCTTGAAACAAAAGAGCAATAATTCTACACTACTCTGTATTAATAGGGGAGAAGCTTTGAGTCAGCAAAGTGTAGAAGCTACACTTCAGTCTGCAGTTATATTCCATTGCTTTTTAATTGTGAAAGGTAATATGGCTGGTGCTGGATCTTTTGTCAGATTTTCATTTCCTAAGACACCTTGCAGGTCTGACATTTTGTTAGTAACAGGCAGGGCCACAGAGAACTGCAGAGGGGTTACCTTTCTCCTATTTGGAAATCTCAGTCTCTGTGCATCATTTGAAACAAAAATGGGCTGAAGTCTCCACTGTGTAGGCTGCAGGTGATAACGCTGACTGTTAGTTTCAGGCATGTTCATATCTAAGGTTGCCCCTGATCATGGGGCAAGCCTTATTAGGATAAATAATCAGGATCTTTTGGCAGAGCCAAGGCGTGGCATGCTATTATCTGCATAACCCTTTTCTGCACACTGGCACAAACAGGAGCGTTCAATGATAAAGAGAAAGATTGTAGTTTGGAAGAAGCTGCCATCTAATGGCCAAACTGAAAAACTGGGCGCTTGCTTGAAGCAGTCAAAATTTCTGGGGGTGTGGCAGCCTGGTGTGATTAGCCAAGCCTTCCCCAACCAGACACATTTGAGTACAGTTCCCAGCATTCCCCATCCAGCATGTCCAAAGGCTGCAACTTTCCAATTAAGTAGTGATTGTTCTGTGATGATTTGATGCTCGTTTTTTATTTGCTACAACCACATTAGAAAGCAACACCAGTTTTACTGCATCAGAGTAATAGAAAGACTTGGATACATTGTTTTTATTTTTTAGTGTTTTGATGCTAGCCCCTTTAATGAAATTATTTCGAATATCTAAGAAAAAATCAGCTGCAGGAAGCCAAACCATGCTTTAAACCCTCTCAGAAAATGACTGACAAACCCAGGTAATGAAGAAACATAACATTTAAGTGGCAAGGCTGCTCTGGAGGCAGAGAAACAACAGAAACAGCAGAACAACAGAAAATTGTTCTGTTCAAATGGGCAATTTTCAGAGTTAAGGCAGGGACAACTTGTGCTGCAGTCTGGGCTTAACCTTGCACGTTACTGATTGACTGACAGCTGTGATGTCCTGAGCACCCTCCCTCCCAGCTCCAGGACCAGGAGCAGTTTGATAACTCTTCAAATTTGTTTCTGCTTTTTTCATTTTTGAAAAAGGTGATAAACATTTAAATACAAATGCATGTTGCACTTTAAATATAAAAGAAGCGGAGAGCCCATCTGAAGAGTGGGAGGGGGGAGAAGTGATGACTGACCAAATAGGCATTTCTGTTTCTGATTTCTCCCTCTGCTAATTACACTGCTGTGGCAGGAGGAAGCCAGGCTCAACTTTCCAGTCCCACAACTCCAGTTTTAATGTTATGTCTCTGTGCTGTCCCAGAGTCCAAGAATAATTTCATTTCCCTTGATGCAGGATTTTGGGGTTCTTGAAGACACAATAAATTGGTTTTTCAACCAAGCAGAGCATCTCTTAAATCAAAATCTTCATGTAATTGCTCCTGGGGGACTGCAGTTGTTTCATGGGGTTCACTTGTTTCTTCAAGAAGGTCAGGTAGAAGATCTCCAAGTACAAAGTCATTGAGGTCTTTCTGAAGGGGGGTTGTGGGAGCTGTAATAGGTTTCCATGATCTTCCTGGACATTTTGGAGCTGGTGGTTCCGGCAGCTCCGGCAGTTTCTGAAATAGAGAAATTGGCTTTGAATTGCTGTCTTGGAATAGGGAAATGGTGGGGTCAGGGGTACCAAAGGATGGGAATATGTCTTCATCTGCATTTCTTGTTACATCTTGCTCTTCTAGAAATGGTTTTGAAGTGGATTGTTGGTTGGGGAAGTCTTGCCGTACATCTTCATCAGATTCCTCAGATTCCTCAGATCCCTTCTTTGTCTTTTTATGATGGTGGCCACGGTCATGGCCACGGCCATGGCCATGTTTGCGACCAAAGGCTAACTCTTTTTTAGGTGTATGTCTAGAGGATCCTTTTACTCCCGCACTTCGGAAAGGGGTAAAACCTGGAGGCCTTCTCTGAAAGAACTTTAAAAAATCATATTTTAGTTATTTGAAATTGTCTGACTTATTCTAAAAGTTAAGGCTGTGGAATAGCACACAAAATACACATTAAGGATTAAAATAAAGTTGAATGTACACTGACTGTCTGATTGAGCCTCATCTAGAACCCTCTCTCCCTACGCACAACACACTCAGCCCAAAGAAACTGTGCTTCAAAAGTTCATTTAGAATTTTAAGGGCATCTCTATGCAGGCAAGGATCTACTGGACTGTGATTTAGTAAGGGGAGTCAAGATCTCTAACAGAGATTTTCACCGGAGCCCCTTCGGTGTATGAGGGAACACAGTTGTGGTATTTATGCAACACACAATCATAGTCAGGGCACATGCGAATGAATACAGAATAGTTGAAAATGTGAGCTTATGTCACACACAAATGCAACTGTGGGAGAAGCTGGAGGAGTTTGAAAGGGGATGTGTGCAAGGAAATGGCCCTCAAAGGTAGGGAGCAGGGTGTGTGTGTGTGGAGAGAGTGAGAGCAAGAGAGAGAGAGAGCTCAATTAGTTCTGCAAAGGTGTGGGAAAAGCCAAGATATTTTAAAAGGGTCCGCAGTTTGGATGTGCTTCTCGACCCAGAGCTTTCATTGGAAGCTCAGGTGACAGCAGTGGCCAGGAGCGCTTTCCTTCAGCTTCTGCTGATCCATCAGCTGCGTCCCTACCTGGAGGACGACTGCCTAGCGACAGTGACACATGCATTGGTTACTTCCCAGTTGGATTTCTGTAACGCGTTCTACGTGGGGCTGCCCTTGAAGACAGTCTGCATACTTCAGATGGTGCAAAATAGAGCAGCCATGTTGCTGATGGGGACTGGGCATTATTCTCATATAACCCCAGTCCTCTACCAGCTTCACTGGCTTCCCATTGAAGTCCGGGCTCAATTCAAGGTGCTGGTTATTACCTATAAAGCCCTTAACGGCTTGGGACCTGGATACCTAAAGGAATGCCTTCTTCCGTATTTGCCCTCCCGCCTCCTGAGATAGGCAGCAGAGGCCCTCCTCCGGGAACCCTCCGTGAAAGACATTAGGAGGCAAAATACCCGGAGGAGGGCTTTCTCTGCGATGGCGCCTCACCTATGGAATGCGCTTCCCAGAGAGGTCCGCCTGGCGCTGTCGTTATTTGTTTTTTGGCGCCAAGCTAAGACTTTTTTATTTCAACAATATTTTAATAACTTTTAATATTAGCTATATATGTTTTAATCTGCAGCTAGGCTGGATCTGGAATTTATTTGTATTATGTTCTATTCTATTCTTATTTATGTAAGCCGTCCTGAGGCTCTGCGAAAGGATGGCATATAAATATTCTAAATGAATGAATGAAGGAAAACAAAACTAATAGCTTCTCCTGCCCACTCACCAACAGAAAACATGGAGAAGGGAAATTATGCTTGCTCTTTTCTTCCCAGTTCCCATGGGGTGAGGCTCCCCTCATTCCCTTCCACCCAAAAGCAACCAGGTGCAACCCTTTCCTGTGCAGACTTCCCCACAAGCTGGCTCCACTGAAGTCAGTATTTCTTGTGTGTAAGGACTCTTTCTGAGTAAGCGTGACTTTCAGCATGAGTACAAAGGAGATTTCAGGCTTGAAAGACACGGCAAACTTGATGTTTTGGCGGGGGGGGGGGTGAGAAAAGGGCGGGACCTGTGCCAGTGCCATGCTAGGCTCCCACGTTATGACAAGTTGTTTTGTGCTCTCACTATAGTCCATGGCTTTTTACCTTGACGTGCCTGACAGAGGACAAGGCTCCTTGTAGCAACTTTCCTCCCTCCCACCATCTCCTTTCCACTCAGTCTTGCAGGCAGTTCCCCGGGAGACACTGCAGGAAGGAAGGAGGGTCCCCCTTTGACAAGCAGGTTCGCGAGCTAAATTTGGCTCCCTGTGTCAAAGGCTCTGCAGCGCAAATGGGACCCAGGCCTTGAAGTGCAGCAGAGAGGATGAGGGAGCCGACCAGGCACCCTTGCCTCTGCCCGAGAGGGGTTTGCCAGGCCAGGTGGGTGGGGACTGATATTCACCCAGGCAAAAGGGGGGCAGGAATCAGCTTGGTAGCACAGCAGAAGGAGGCAGTGCCACTTCACTGATTCTCTTCCTCAGTAAAGCCCCCATGTGGGTGAGTGGGAGGGGGGAATCAGCTGGGTGGCAGTGCCTGTTAGGAGCAGTGCCACTCTGCTGCTTCCCCTGCTCACCCCTGTTTTCCACTTCTGCTTGTGAAAGAGGTGTCCCCAACCTGGGATCCACCTGAGGGATCTTTCTTGCCACCTGCACCCCCTTTTCATTTTTGCTTGCCAAAGTCTTTAGGGCAGAAGGTGGGCAGCACCTCTGACAGCTGTGCAAAATGGCAGCTGCCAGTGGCACTCTATGGCTAGCCTCTTGGCAAGAGCAGCAATGACCACTGTTGTTACGTAGCTGCATGCTACCATGATGGGTTGCATTTCTGGGGTTCGGATGACACAAGCCATGGTGATGCTGAGAACCCACAGAACAGACTGTTGTTTCTCTTTGTGGTTTGTAAAGACAGTGTTCAGCCGAAAAGGCAGACCAACAACCACCATGGCTTGTTCTGTCATGTGGACCTGCCGAGAGAGAGGAGCTGGGGGAAAATGGGGAGGAAGGTAGCTGAAGACTTGTGAGTTGTGGCTAGTATGCTGCAGCCCTGACAGGATCCTTCCTCTCCCACCACAGCCCAGCAGCTGACTGAAACCACTCCTACTATCTGTGGAACAGGCACCACTGGTTTAGCACATACTGATCACGTAACATATAACAAAAGTCATGAAACAGGTCTGGAAAAAAAAATGTGGGATATAATGCCAGAAATAGTATAAGCAGGGTGGGTTGGGATGAGCATCATGTGATGCAATGGCAGTAAAGTGCCTAGGATAAATTGCACCTATGCATACACAGAATGTGTACAGAAAGGTAGTTCCAAAGCTGCTAAAGCTTATTCACCAGTGCAATCTCTGGTTGGTTAGTTTCATTTAGGATAGTTTTCTCCCACAGTCCAATAGTCTGCTACATTACCCAGGGAAGAAGCCGTCTCAGAGATACTGCTCTAAAGACATTAAAGGGTCGCAGGCCAAATATATACAGCATCTTGACCTGGGCTCCAAAGGCTACAGGAAGTTGACCAATGACTCACTCCAGTTCCAGGTTCCACCTGGAACCTCTAAACAGTCTTCACAATAACTTATCTTGGATCCTTTGTAATGTGCTGCTGTGAGGATTCAAGCCCAAAGGGCATCCTCAGCACAGGGGGTATCAGGCAGGATTTCAGTCTGTACTCCACCATGGAAGCTTGGGCAAAGGGAAGAAGTCCCAAGCCCAAGAGCAGACCTGCAAGAGATTCTGTTAGTGCAGTGGGGAAGTCAACCTCCCATAAAAACTTTAAGATGAGGACTGCTTCTTGGGTTTGAGGAACTAAGGCCTTAGGTGTTCGCTGTTCCCTACCACAGACTCAACCTGTTTCAGCTTTGCCCAGTGCCTCATCTTCTCACTTCATATAACCTGCAGTGAATTGTTAAGTGCTGTTTCTCTTAATCACAGGCTTGTCTATAAGCTGAGTTGATGAGCAATTATTTTAACTGTCTCTAAAATGTGGCATTCCATCTGTAATGACAACCAGGTAAGCCTTGGTCTAAGTCATTACACTGCAATCATTACTATTTACTTGTACCCCCTTTTTTTAAATAAATGTTTGCGGTTAAAGTAGCTAAACTCTTGCTGTTCCTATTTCCCATGTATCACAAGTCCAACCAGCTAGCCAAGAGTGTTTCCTGGATGTAGCTTTAGCTAGATCCCTGGCGCTGTCCATTGCTATACACTGGATAATGATTGAAATGCTTCAGGCAGATGGATTAGAGTGATGCGGGCACTGGTGGCACAAGATGGCCTATTATCTTACGCAGGAGGACCTGCATTGCTGCACTCTCCCCAAGATCAGATGAGCAGCCTCTTCACTGATCTGCTGAAACTGAATGCCATGCTTTCAGGGAGTCTTGTTAGTTGGAGACTGCCTCTATGGGCTGATATGGCTCTTCAGGTTGGCTGCTTGCCCCTCCAGTCTCTCATTTGGGAGACCCTCCCAGACCAAGGAATGGGGAAGCGACAGTTGCTCCTCCAGGGAGAGCTGTATTTGCTGTGGCAGGAAAGTGGGACTGGTGTGGGACGGTAGTGTGTCTGTAGGGGCCTTCCCCTACAGTTTGTTTGTTTATTTATTTAAAACATTTGTATGTTGCCCAATTGGGCCACAGCACCTCTGGGCGCCTCACAACCATAAGATAAAAGTACAATAAAAACCAGAAACACATTAAAATAAAATAACAATACAATACAAGCAAAAATGCAAAACAAAGGTCTTATGGCATTAGTTATTAAAATATTTTTTTAAAGGAAGGTTGGCACTGAAAAGAAAGAAGGGAAGACACCAGGCAAATCTTCTTGGGGAAAGCATTCCAAATATGGGGAGCAGCTGCAGAAAAGGCCCTCCTCCTAGTGGCCATCCCTCTGACCTCCAGAGGGGATGTCTCACACAGGAGGGCCCCCTGCATAGATCTCAAAGGCCGGGTAGGTATAGGCGCTCCCTAAGATAACCAGGGCCTAAGCCTTTTAGGGCTTTATATGGCAACAGAAGCAGCTTGAACTGGGCCTGGGGCAGTTGGGGTAGGGTATAATCTGCCGTTCCTCTTGAGCAGGAGATTTAAGTGTTGTGAAGTGTCCATAGAGCTCTGGCTATCGGGTAGTGTAAAACTAGGGTAAATAAATTAGATGACTGGCCCTGGGTGGATTTGTGGTACCCTGTGCAAGTTCCCTACACCATCTACACTTGGTTACACAGTGAAGGAAAGGAAAGGATCTGGTGGAATCCTCTGGACCAGGGAGCTGCTATGAAAAGAGATTTGACCTTTGGGCTGAAAGAAGTCAAGCACCCTTGCTTTGCATCTTCAGAAGGAAGAACTTTTTGTCCCATATTAATCACCTTCTGGAAGTTACTTTTAAAACCCTCCCATGTTTCCCTAGTACTGCTTCTGTGATGGGGTTTTACCACAGAAAATCTGCTAAGTTGGGGAGAAGATGGAGCCACTACAAAATGGCTTCTGATTCTTAGGATTGGAAGCCCCTCTTTCTAGATGCCTCTGCTTATAAGAACCATCTGTACGCTAATTCATAGGCCTGAGCTTTGGTTGTACCAAGGTGTCTTTCTACTACATAGAATAATTTGTTTACTATGTTTATATTGTTATTTTATATCATTTAAATTTTATTCTGAGTCAGTCAATATATGGGTCATGCAGTGTGCATAATACAATGCTCAAAAAACCAAGCAAGCAAAATGGATAACTATCATGCATCCAGTTTATACATGTTTATAGATTTAGAATTTTTAAAAGATTCTAAAAGATCCTATTGATTTGAAATTAAAAATGCTTTATTTTAATTTAATACATTATTTTAATAACTTATTTATTCATTCATTCATTGGGTTAGATTAGATTTTATTTACTAGATTTTTATCCTATCCCATAGACAAAATGGCTCTCTGGGTGAGTTGCAAATATAATAGTGTAATAAATCAACATACATAATAAAACATTGTTTATCTTATGAACATTTTAATCTAAATTAACCATTAGATAATACATAGTTTAAATCAGTGTTTTATATCAAAGTGTATCATATTTTAAAATCTATTTATATACCTATATTTATTTATTTAATTTTTTAAAAAATCTATACAAATGTATAAACTGGTCGCATTACTTCCTTATTTTATTTATTTAAAACTTTTATATGCCATCAACACACGCCTCAACATCTTGGGATGGCTCACAGCACGTACAATTAAAAACAATAACAAATTCCATAAACTTATATAAAAACAAAAAACAAAAAAGCAACTGTTAATGATAAAATATTAATTTTTAACCTAGTAATTAAAAAGGTTTTAACCTGGTGCCAAAAAGAATATAAACTCGGCACCAGGTGCACCTCTCCAGGTAGCACATTCCATTATGATTTTATTCATTACATTTCTATACTATCCAATAGCTAAAGTTCTCTGGGTAGTTTAAAAAAGATAGTGTGTTTTCTATGCATTTTAGTGAAACTGCTTAGAGATTTTACTAATATTAAGTGACATAGAAGTATTGTTAAACATATGAATTAAATTCTTTAAATTCAATTAATAATTCAAGTTATCTTTAAATTCAATAACAATATCCATATAGTAGGATGTAATGACAAGTTTGATTATTAGCTCCTTGGGAAGTGAGCAGATCTCACATCAATGAACTTTTGCAAACACTAATCGCAAATTGCATTTTGCTTGGGTGGGGAAAGGTGCACTTTCATACCTGTAGAGATTTTGTGGCCATGCAATCCACTGTGACCCTGTTTTTGAACGCCAAGGGTTTTTGATAAATGGAAGCATTGCATTCAAGTGGTTCCTGTCATCAAAACAAAATTGAGCATTGTTATATTTATTCATCAAAGATCACAACAGACAGCAAAAGTATAGCATATTATTATTATATGTGGTGTTCTGACTTGGAAACCTGTGGAATTTCACTACCTTCATAGAGGACAGACAAATAAATAAACTGAAAAATTTCCATCTTTTCTAACCTTTTGTATTGGGCTTTTTCTTGTAATGAGGAAGGAAATTATCCAACAATTTAAGGCAGAAAACACACATGGAGGCAACAAATGTTATTGCTTATCAATATATGATAACGCTGAAATTTAAACAGGACACTAAAGGTGTAATCTCATACATATTTTGACTGAAGAAATTTCTACAATTCCCAGAATTCCCCAGTCACTGTGGCTGTCACATCATGCATAGGGTTGCACCCTTAAGATGTAATCTTTACAACTTTAGGGTGCAACTGTAATCCTGTACAGCAGAGTTTCCAGCCTGGTGCCCTCCAGGCATCTTGGACTGCAACCCCCAGCATACCTAAGCTAGTCATGCTGGCTGGGGCATGCTGGGAACTCGGTGCAATATAGTATAGACAGCTACCTGGGAGTAAGCTCTCCTGAGCTCAGTAGGAGTAACTAAGGGAGACATCATAGGGATGCAGTGTTTTTAAAAAGTCAAAGCATAGCAGACACATGGGCCAAGAATGAATTTCTGGAAAAGTACCAGCACGAATATTTAGATGGAATTACACTATTCACCCACTGAATCCAAATACAAGGTTTATATTAGTTCTTGAAAATAAAATATTCATCTTGGAATCATTGCCAATAACTTACACTGTCTACTGTAGCAGTACAACCTTCATTTAAATTTGGGAACTTAGCCTTGGAGCAATTTGTCTTCTTAACAATGAACATAATTCGAAATAAAATTCCAGATTCAACCTGAAATTCAAGCAGAAAAATGACTAGGAGCCACTCTTAGTTTGGATTGCAATGGTTCAGAGGAATTCAAACTAAGTAAAACTCAAAGCTAAATATCACTCAGATAGTAGATGAACAAGTTTTGTCATGTGTGTGCATACACACTTTACCAGTAGTGTTTTATCCTCCTTTCACATCACAGCAGTCTTACTGGGAAAGAAGGTACACTGTGGGGATTCTCTTCACACATTGTCTTTCGTTGATTTTTTGGGGGTTTGGTTTTGCAGTTTCTTGCTTCCCCTTTTCCCAGTAGAATTGATTCTGCTGGGACACACTGCATTCTAGAATGGTGGTTCAGTGCCCAGAGGAGATGGTTTAAACTATCCTTGTCCACTGAGACTGACTGGTTAGGCTTCCTGAGGATAAAATGACTTGCGTTTGTTCAAACCTTGACTTCACTATTTCATCAGATTGTCCTGAGATGTATCCGGATTATTGTCTGGTCATGCTCATTTGAATAGTACGGGTCAAATACACAGACAAGATGCTTGCACAGTCAAGGATCTTGTCTTTCATGGCTGGTGAGCTCTGAAAGGGCAGGGCAGGAACAGAGTGAGTGGGCCAGCCAGGTGACAAATGCCTCCTCACAATAGAAAGTTGCCTTGGGTTGCCTGAATGAGGCAGTGATGGTAAGACATTAATAGATCCTCCCTGGCACTAGAAGAGGTGAGTAATTTTAGACTGGATCCTTTCCTGAACAATGTTATTGAACAGGTGGCTGCTGATCAGATTCAGGCATTCTTGGATGAAAATGATTTTCCGGATCTATTTTAATCAGGATTCTGGCTTTGGTTTGGTGCAGAGATGACTTTCATTGCCTGGAATGATGACAGGTATTGGAGGAAAGGACAGGGGCATGTATCCCGCTTCATATACTGTAATCTCTTAGTTACATTCAATATCAGTGGTCCTAGTATCCTTCTGGAGCTATTTTCTAAGTGGGGGGCATTGCCCTGTTTCCTCAGAAGGCAATGCTTTGGCCCCATGGAGCCTATAATACAGCTTTTTTGAAGGTCCTGACCCTACCCCTGATGCTGTTAGCATCTACATGGACCTGTCAAGTGGGGTCATCCAGAGTCCAGATGTAGATTGTCATCAATATGCTGGTGACATGCAGCTCTGCTTCTGCTTTTCATTTTAAGCAGCTGTTGCAGTGGTTATGTTGAACTGTGGTTTGGCTTCAATAATGGACTGGATGAGAACCAACAAAACAAAGCTCCACCCAAACAAGTCAGCTGTGGATGGGGTCACATATGTCCTTAAGGAAGAGTTGTGCAGCTTGTTAGTTAGTGGCCAGACTTCTGGCTGAGGCATGGTATTACAAATATGTAAGTATGGTCCTGACTTGCCTGTACTAGTTGCCAATTTGCTTCTGGGCCAAATTCAAAATGCTGTTTTTGAACTAAAAAAATCCTATAGCTGCAGCTCATGAGCCATAATATGCTTCCCAAATTAACCTTCCTTGCCTGGCATTAGAGGCCTTCATTTGTATGTCCCCCTGAGGGAAATGGGGTGGTGGCAGCAGTCTGGAATCAGGGGTTTTTAGTGGTACCCCTATGTTTGTGGAACACTCTCCAAATAAGCTTGCCTGATGCTGACATTACCATATTTTTGGCCCCAGGCTAAGATATATCTATGCTTGCTCAGAAATTCAGACATTAGTTAGGGCCTGACCATTGTGGTTGCTTTTGTGGTGTTCAATTTGGGGTACAAGAATGGGGAGACTACCAGACCGTTTGATTTGTGCAGTCAGATGGTACTCTATTACCTGTATATTATCTCTATTACCTGTATATTATCTCTATTTTTATTTGTATTGTTGTGTTGTACTGATTTTGACTTCATCACCTTTGTTATCTCTCTTATGGATATTGTGCATTCTTTCTAGCATAGATCACTTTAATTCGCAATTTAGTGATGTGTATATTTAATAAAGAAATGCTTCCCAGCTCAATCAGGAAAATGTCTGTGAGGATGGTTCTGCACCCTGCATTATGGGAGACATGAAGCTGGAGATTTTGAAAGGTGCACAGTTCAGGATGGAATGGAAATCTGCATGTAGAGCGAGACGTGCTAGACATATACATGGTGGGCATGCTGTGAGTGGAGCTGGCTGGAGTTGGGGGTTCGTCTAGATGGCCCGGGAGGTTCCTTCTGACTTGCTCTGTTTCTATGTTTTTATGTAGTGCAGGCAAAGGTGTAGAACCTAAAAGGGAATTAGGTTTGGAATGGTTAACCAACACGAGTGAGTGTCATATATGAAAATCCTTGGGCCCCAGACATCATCTCAGGGATATGCAAATGGACATGATAAGAATTCAAATCTGAACAGAAGTGGGCATTCCAATCTGAATTTTTAAAACTACAGAAAAATACAAAAGTAGCAGCAGGATTCAGACCTGTCTTGTAGCTGTAATAATCTCTTCCACTTTATAATAGAAGTCATCGTCACTATCCAAGTTAAATTTTTCAAGAGCAGCTGCCAAAGGTTTCTGAAGTATCGGACTGTCAGTTGGAATGTTGATTTTGCAATCGGGACACACACCAGGACGAAAGCGGTTTTCATGACCTGCAAAAAAAGCCCCAAAGTGATCAAAACCGAAGGATTTTGATTTTCAACCCTTCTGAATTCACATGTTCTTTCACAGACTGGATCATCATAAGGCCATAGGAAGAATCGTGTTGGATCAGGCCAAAGCCCTATCTAGCCTAGCATTCTGTTCACACAGCGGACAACCACAAGTAGGACAGAAGTGCCAGGCTATGCTCC